TTATTTATATACTTGTGTATTAGATTGAAAGTGTGCATTGTTTACGACTTGCTTGATTTCGTGATATATTATAAGAAGGAGTTGTGGGACACGTCATCGCATGCCTGCACGGAAGGATTGGGAGGTGCGGCCGTACAACTCTGTGTTTAGCGACCGTACAAACAGTGGCCAATGAGTAGCCTCCATTTATTTAACCTAATGTGCCATCCTGATCATGACTAAGCCCCTGCGTGTACGTTTTACTCACAATAACCCTACTGAATAAACGTGCTCTGTGCTACACGTCTGTTTCCTTTTTAGCTGGGCTATAGCTTAGCTGGTTCTGGGAGTCTGCCACAGAGATTTCTGAGTCAGTCAGGCTTTACTAGTGCAGCAATCCGCTCTCCTAAGATCAGGCTATTTTGAAAGGAATAAGATTATGCAGACGTAAACTATAATTGGATGTTTGCTAGGTTACATCGGAACCTCCAACATTTTTAATCGCTTTTCGTGTAAACCAAGCTGAAATTGAATATTCACGAAAATTTCAAGGAATTCAGTACGCAAAAACTGCGTGGCCAAAATCCCAAACAGAACTATTTCGTGTCATTTTGCCAAACCGTGAAACCTCTGAGTGTCCTCATCTAATTTGCTAAATACTGCATTGAAATTTCTCTATCCTCAGTTCAAACGTAAAATGTTTGTAAATTGAGTACTCAACATAACCTGAAAATATAGTTTTACTAGTTTCCTCTTACGTTTTCTGAGTCTAACTCCATTCCGACCCTACAAATTTCTAATTAAATTAAAAATAGTATTCTAAGAATATTATTATGATTTTTTTTCAATATTAGTAACGCAAGTCAAAGCTTCGTTAAACCTCCCTCCACATTGTCAACGGACAGAATGAAACAACAATAGGTTCTATTAAAAGTCAAGATTTTGGATCAATTTAATTCTAAAATGGAACTACAAGTTTGTAAAAGACTTCTGAATTCGTTTCTATGTGTTATGGAGGTTCAATTTCATTTTCCCCAGCTATAATTTCTGCTTGGAAACCCTTCATAGTTGTAATTTGAACAAAAATGTACTAGATTACAAATGGGAAATTTTTACCGCCGAACATAAGTGATTAGTTGGCTCAAAAAACAATCACTGCGTACACAGGAGCACACACGTGTGATTAGAAATTCCGATTGAACAGTCAATACTGCCTAGCTTATATAGGGAGAGTTATCAGGATGTAAGTTTTTCAGATGGCAATGTAGGGCCTTGCTAGACCAAAAACTCATAAGAAGCACCACGCCTGGGAGTCAATTTTGGTTAAAAGAGCAATAATCGATTGTAAGGAAAAGCAACTCTTTTCATATGACAAAATCGTGAAAACTCACGATTGAGCGCACTTGGCAATTTTATAGTCATATTTCTCTTTGCAATCTCAACTGTTCTAAAATTTCTATCAAAAATTTAAAGAATGGTTCTAATGTAAAAGTGCAAGTTGTGTCTACTAATTGATCGGGTATAAGTTGAAATAATTCATTCAGGTTTCTGGCTCAATCGAACTACAGCTATTCGGGTCTGGAGTCATTAAGGTGACAGGCTGCAGATGAGCTTTTAATATTTTGTCTATATTATCCAAGTAAATTTAAACGAAGAAATATTCACAATTTAAACAGTTATAAGGAAAGCCTTCAACAATGAACGATTTGAAAGTGAATGCGCAAATTTAAGTCAAATATAAAATATGATTATGGTTATTACTTTGTGGGGGGTTAAAAATGTTCAATTTCCAATGCAGCTTAACTGTTAGTACAAGCTTATATAATTTTAAAACCTGGGAAAAATCCTCTGACTTGAGATTTCGGTTTCCAACCAGTGTTTGGATTAAAATTAAAACCAGAAAATGCACAAATATTATTTATTCAAAATAATCCCATACAATTGCGTCATGTTAATATATACCACGAGGTAGTGATATGAAATTCTGATTACTAGTGATTTGATTTTAATACAATTAGTTTAGCTTGGTTTGTTTTTGTTTTGTTGCAACAAACATCGTATTAATTATATAAAATGTATGATAATTAGGTTTTACTTGCGTTTCCATTTGTGATTTTTACTACCCTAAATTAATACCGGGAATTGAATTAAAATAAATTTATCTTCAATGGTATTAATGTAACTGGTCAACTGTTACAGGTGCGCTACCGCATGACAACATAATTATGATCAGTAAATATAAATCAGCAAAACTAGCCTTATATATTGACTCTTGTCGTACTTATTAACTTTAAAATTCTAACCTTAGAAATTAAAAAAATAAGAGAAAATTTTTATCTCAATAAAATATGCTGTTTAGAAAAAGACATTGAGAGCATTGTTCGGTAACATTCCAGTTCCAATTTGTATAAATTTTCTCACTTTCATCATTCAAATGTAATATTTGTCTTTATATTTTAGAATCACGCTATGTCCTCTTTTCAGCATTAAAGAAGTTAGAGAGGTCAAGCTCATATTTAAATCATGGCAGACAGTAAGATAACTAAAATATAGCGGCTGTTATGACGCAAATATTTCGTAATAAACTTTATGGAAATTACATATAACGAAAAATAAGTTGAAGATAGTTTTAATTTTGATTTGTATAAATTTGCCAAGTCTGCTTTCAATTAGTATAAATCTAGAATAATTAAATTTCAAGAATATATTATGCGAATAAAAAATGAATTTAATTAAACATATTAAAGATTGAAGTCCCATAATTAGAGATGAATTTATATTAAATCAGTGTTTAATTTTACTTTGGAATTCCGCGCTTTTCGAATCAGTGTGCCATCGGTTATACATACTATGAAGTGCTCTCAATGTGGGGGAACAATATTTGATGAAAATCACTCCCGAGGTGACAAAGTTTGTGCTGAATGTGGTCTTGTCGTAGAAGAAAATGAAGTTCAAGCCTTTGTAGAATATGTCGAAAATGGTGGGGGTACTTCTGCACTTGGCAATTTCGTCTCTGCTGAGAGTAAGTGCATCATTTATTGTATAACTGTTGCTCCCTTTCCCGATTTCATTGTAAATTTTGCTTATTTTATTTTAACATGGTTCATTTTCATTTAGGCCAAATGCCCGGTTATCGTGAATCGCGTCAAATAACAGAGCAAAAAGGTAACCTTTATTAATTCACTTAACCCCAACAATCTTTAAATGTATCGGAAATAAATTGTTAGTTCTATTTTAACTCTTTAGCACGCAAGCGAATCGAAATGATCTGTGGTCAACTTCGTTTAGGTGCCGCTATTTCTGCCTCTGCTTTCAGTTATTATCAGACCGCTCATTTTCGTGGTTTCACTCGTGGTAGAAGTTCTCTTCGGCTTGCCGCGGCATGCATCTATATCGCTGCAAGGCAACAACGTGTCAATCTAATGTTACTTGATCTGAGTGATGCGATCGCCATTAATGTTTATAATGTTGGTCACACCTATATTGAATTGAAACGAAAACTCAATCTTGCCTTGCCAGAAGTTGGTAAGTAGCTTGCTTTTATGTTGTCTTACACAAAGGAGGAGAGTTGGCTTCGTTGACTGCTTTTACTGTTATTCTAGATCCATGTCTCTTTGTCGAACGTTTTGCTAGTCAGCTGGATTTTGAAGATAAGACAACCGAGGTCGCTACAACTGCTATGCGACTTCTGCAAAGAATGAAGAAAGACTGGCTTAGTACTGGACGCCGTCCATCTGGTCTTGCCGCTGCCGCTTTACTCGTTGCAGCTCGAATTCATGAGTTCAATCGAACCGAGGAGGACGTCGCCAAAGTTGGTAGGTTTTCTACGCATTTGAAAGTTCAATCAAAGAAAGTTTTTGTTCCTCATGGTGTTTGGAATGCCCTCATTGCGCTGTTGATCATAATCATGAAGCGTCGTTTTAGTCCACATCTATCCCACTTTTGTACTTATTTTAGCGCGTATCAGCCAAATGACAACTAGAAAGAGGTTGATAGAATTCAGCAAAACCCCCAGCTCGGCGCTTAGTATAGACGATTTCTTCACTGTGGATTATGATGAAGAGCAGGACCCTCCTTGCTTTGGACAGCACACACAAAAACGCAGATTGGTAAGTTTCGTCGATGGCTTAATGATCATATTTTCATTATTTTTTTAGGATTGAGGAAATTCTTTTGATTTAGATCTTTGAATTAATGTTCATTATTCAGCTCTTTTTTCCTTATCAGTTACAGTTTGCACTTAGTTTCCAATCCCCTTAAGGCAAGTGTTGACAACTGACAACTGAATTTACCTGTGTTGTTGAGGTTCCATATCACACTGGATACGAACTGATGCGCATTAATTTCATGATGTCTATCTGACAGATATACGCGGTCCCCATTGTAGTAGCTAGTCATTCGTTAAGCAGATTAAGATCCTTTTGCCTTAGGTACCACTAACTGATGTTTTCCAAATTCCAGTGATCACCGCTGGTATGATGCCCGAAATCTGTTGAGTGGTTCGTTTTTTTATTCGATAACCATTCGTGTGCAGCTCCCTTCTGCGAATTTAATTGTTCAATTTTAATTATTTTTCGAAAAAATGTAGACTTACCTTGGTAGGTATTTTCCATTTTTGATTGTCTAATGTAACTGAATATATTGTCGGAATTCTATCCTTATATGAACGCTATCTCTTTGACTTGTGGTAATTCGGAAAAGCTTTATAGCTTCTTGAAATCTTCCTGGTTGTTTTTTCGTTGCAAACTTAATCATTACCACCTTTTTCCTGAGTTTATTTTTAAGATGATCATCCTCACGTCAGTTTTGTTGCTCATCATGCCTCCTTTTGTCAGGTTTCCTCGACAACGTATTGGCTAAACTGGCTATTATATCTCAATTGGCTTATACTTCCTCTTAGTAAGGCGACTGGCAATCCTTACTTTCTCCGTGAGAGAGAGCCGTAGAGCACGCGAAGGTTCTTTTTTTTGTTTGTTAACCACCCTGGTCTTGCAACTCCTACGATTGTGGGTGTATTCGAAGAAGGAACAGTTAGCATGATTGATGACTGGAATGAAAGCTTGGAAACACACGAACCAATCAAGCCTTAGATACCTTCAATGCTGGTAGCGGCGATAGGGAAAATAGATGTGTTTACTTTACACTAGGTGTGTCACTTGCTGGTTTAGTTTCTATATCGGTAGTTTATTGGTCAATCATCTTTGGGTTGAGTTGTGAGATTGGTAATTATGTTCTAATTATCTGTTGCCATCCAATTTCCAGTTCGTCCAAAGAAATACTAATACTTAAAATTTCTAGACTTATTCGAACCCTAGAAAGCAAGTTTAAATAGCCATCTCTGATATTCTAGTTACTTCTTCTTCATTCAGGATGTCAAAGATCTCGATATGGAACAGGTTTCAGCAGAAATCAAGGAACTCGGTCGTCGAATTGATCAGAAGCTGGAGGAAATATCCAACAAACGCAAATCCGGTTTCACAGTTAATGATCCTGGTAAGTGTCGGCCTTCTGCATTTGTGAACTTTGGTACTGATGTATTCTCATTTATGGCTACATTTAAGGTCGAAAATACCTATCGCATAGTAAGTGAAGGTTCTTTGTTCACTGCTCTGATATTAATATCTTCTCTTTCCATCAGTTGGTTTTCTAATGGTTTTGTATTTTTTTTTTCTATCTTGTTAAATAGCCAAGTTTGAGATCAATTGGTCCTGATTACAACTTGTCGAAAGATGAATGTTTGGTTAAGAGGTCTTGAATAAAGCGGTTACATTAGAAGATCAACATTTCAAGTAAATATATATATGCTCTCTAGGCGTTAGCTTTCCCAATGGTGTTGCTGTTAATGTTTCAGACTGCGAATTTAAAAGTCACTGGCTGTCATCTGATTTGGCCCAAAATAACGAACGTACTTGACTACTACTGCGAGGAATAGAATTCATGCTACATTTTTTAATTTATAAGTGGTTCTACGGGTTTCTTCGAGAAGTCCTGTACCCACGCATCGGAAATGCGACCTTTTGAATTATAATGGAAAGTTCTCCGATTCGTTGCTTTAAAATTTTCTTTGAGCCGCCACCACGCATCAATAAGACTTAAGCTAAAGTTGAATACAAAACCATGGCAATGGGAAATCGGTCAAAGTATCAAGAAAGTCTTTTTTATGGCACTCATCCTATCATAGGCGGAACCCCCGACAAAGCCATTTCTCGTATAATTTAATGGGAATTCGCTTAACACAACAGCTTTAATTGTTGGTGATGATTATTGGGAGGAATGTAAGCAATTACTTTGAGTTATCAAAGACTTTATAAACAACCATCAACAAGGACTTTAGTTGTCCGATTTCTTGTTGCCTTAAGTCTCTATTGAGGAGCATAGGTGATGTAGCCGAATGCCACACTACTAAATCCTGGCATTGATTTTCATTGTACTCTACACTCGAGAGACTGTTGCTGACGGATTGGCTAATTGAATTCAACTGTGTTGATTAGCTAACAAGTAAGTCTTCAATATTCCGTAAGTCAGTTTCTCTTATTTTTATTCCCTGAGCGCAGCTATTACGGGGCCTTTCTGGTTAACCATTTTTCCGAGTTTGAAGCATCTCAATTCACTTCAATTTTTTTTGCAGTCTACATTTCTTTGTTCAAATCTCTTTCACATCCGAGTGAATAAGCAAATGTAGGCTCTAATTTACACCTTTGATAGGTGATTCGTTAATGTTCGTATTTTTTATTGACAGAACTTGCAAAATCTAAGGGTCTCAAACACCTCGTAGAGACAGATAGCCCCTTAGCAAAAGACCTCGATACTTCTGTGAATAATGAAGACGAATCAGTTGACATCAGCCTGATTGAAGACACTGCTGATGGTGAATGCTCGTCCAGCAGTATTTCAAGTGCCATGCGTCGAGAATCTGAGGTGGGTAGCAGTATGGTCGGTGGTAAACGCGCAAAATCATCAACCCAAGTTCTACGTGACGTCCTTGATGGTGTAGTTGACCCGGAAATCCTGGACTCCTGTGTTGAAGATCTGGAATTAATTACCGCTCATTCTGGCAGTCAGTTGTGCGAACTGGTGCAGGCTACTCAACAAATTCGTAATGAACGAGATGCTATGACTGAGGCTAATGCTGATATTGATGCGAAACAGGAGATGATGACCCCGTCGTCGAATCCTACATTTCGGCAACCATCGCCTGTTTTTCCATCAAATTATGCAACTGATGGTAAAGGACTTTATTGCCAGCAATTAACTTGGTTATTAAGCTCAAGTATCCCGTATTAACCTCATGTGTGTCTTTTAGAATCCTACAAACTTCCACATTTTCTTACTCCATTGACACCTGCTGATTCATCTCAGGATGCCAAAAGTAAGCTTTCTATTACTTATGTGGTTATAAGTAGTGCGTGTTCTTTATTTTCAGTATTTATCACCACGAGCTCCATAAATATTGAGTATAAGGCATTTGTGTAACATATATAATCTATTTTTCTTATTGGTTACTGAAATATTACTTAAATAATGAGTGGGTCGGTTGCGTCACTGGTCGACGCGCATATCTTCCAAGTATTGAAAGGAACCGTGCTAGAATGAAGACGTGCGATATTTATATTTTCCTTCGAATGCATTTAGCACAGGAGTCGTGTTGAAAAATTTCCGTTTTTTACTCACCTTCAAGAATGTCCTCTGTAAGCCTAGACAATTTAAATATACCTCACTAATTTAGAAATAACTTGACTACACATTAAACCAAGGATTTAATTTCTACTCATAATTTATTTATTTATAACAAATGGCAGGCGTTTTGATAGTTATCATTAGCCCTTTAGTTGACTTCGGGCTTTGCAGAGGAGAGGAGGAACATCAAAGTGAGAAGAATTCGGGATGGGGAATAGAAGAGTGATTCACAGATGTAAAAGAAACAGACAGACACAAAAGCACAGAAAGGGTAAGGTGAGTACTCTGGTAGGGGTCGAATATGACATACAGTGGGGGTGATGGTAGTTTGAAGTGAGAAGTCAACTGCCGGTTAATAGACTTTTTTGCCGTATGATTATGCGTTGCCCAGGGTGCACCAGGAGGAGGTAAGTCTATCCCACACCCCTTTTCTACTCAAAATCGAGCCATGCTTTGAGCATGTATCTGTGAGAGTTCAATATAAATCGAGAGTATGTTGGAGGACATAGTAGCTCTTTTTACGGTTAACTAGCGTGCCTATGACATTTCATCGCTAACATTAAAAATCTCTCATTCCAAAAGTAGGGCGGTTAAATGGGCCTACTTTGTGGATATTAGTGGAACTTGTGTTTCTTAAGGTAGGACAAATCCTACTCATAAATCTGAGACAGGGTATATCAAGCTTTTCAATTCGTGTGTGTGTGTGTGTGTGTGTGTGTGTGTGCGTGTGTGTGTGTGTGTGTGTGTGTGTGT